TTTTATTCTTTTCCTCTGAACAATGCCATTTTTGAGAGGGTGATCAAGAACAAAACGGAAAGTTGGCAGTGTCCACTGCTTTAGAGCCTGTAGCATATTTTTTGCATCTACATCACCAGTCATTGGCTCACTCATCTCGGAATCATGCTTCAGGTTGGAATCACAAGGTGTGTAATCACCAGATGCACAAAAAAAGAACAATGCATCAGCAGGAGGAAACAACGGCGAGCAAATGGGGTAATTGAATAAATCATAATGGGTAATACGTGTACCCAGACTACTCAAACAGGTATTAGCGAGTAACTCACGGGTACCTGATATTGAAATTCCTAATCCCAAATCTCATCCCGCAATAAATATAATGGATATTTGAGTACCCGTAACCCTAAAAAAAGGGACGGGTTTAGATATTACCCAAATACCATTTCCCGTTGCCCACCCCTAGCCCCTCCCTCTCTTTCTCTCTATTGTTCTTGCCCAAAAATTCTAATTCTTCAAAATTCCTAATTCTACATCTATTTCCATTTTCCAATAATAAAACTGTAACACCCTACCCTATACGAATTACCTAATCAAATTGTTCATACAATTGCAGCCGAAATAATCTCGGGTGTTACATTAATTATCAAAATTTACCAAAATAAAATTTCGACATGAATTACTCGCGTAATGGGCTAACAGTTCTTGTAACTAAAACCTGCAAAATAATTTATCTGAATCGCTGCATACATAAACAAACATATATACTCACAACCATATACATTGGCTTTCATAGCCATAGGCACAGTTTCATACTCCACAACTGCATACCTTACTAATACGTATCATTGTCTTCATAACTTACACAACCACATAAATATACACATATCATCAACTTTCCACACCTGTGGATATTTCACACTACATCAGAAGCTAGTATGCACATGAAAAAACGTTCTCAAAACATTTTTACAAAAGGTGTGGATCACTGGCCAAAATCCCGAGTAGTAATCCAAGCACAGAATAGTTGAAGACCATACCTCATCTTGCTTCAACTCTTGCTCAGCTCCCACCTATACACCTATCTACTGATGTTGATGATGATGATCTGCTTACACATGGCATAAGCAGAGAAAAAGGATAAAGAGGGGCAGCTCATAGCTGAGTGAGATAATCATAGCATCGTGAGTTCATAACAGAGCATACCCCTACCATACATCTAGCAAACAAGCCAAAGCACTAGGATCAGACCTCAGGCATCCGACATCCCAATAGGCAAAAGACTCAACCACCCTGACTTATGCATATGCATCTTATCATGTTTTACTTATAGGCGCCTAGCTACTCCCATGCTAATAACTCTCCCGAGAAACATACCCCACATCCCGTCGGATGTAGTCATACATACCCCAACATCCCCTCGGATGTGGTCATACATACCCCACACCACTATGGGTGTAGTCATACCCCGACACCGCTCTGGGTGTGGTATTATCTTGTAAGAATTATTCAGTCACCACCACATGAGAGGTGTGACTATCATACATATCATAATAGAGTAATAGCATAGGGAGCCCTAATTACTATGTAGTTGACCGTGAGACCACATCACTCATATTTGGTATCCTTATACATGATTCATATCTCATCTTGCTTAATCATAATTCATTACTTGCACATGTACTTGACCTGGCCATAATTGGCTCAACATAGGTAAATCAGGAGTCGTATAATTGCACTTCCTCGGGATAAACCCTCGTGCAAGTCATCCTCCTTAAATATCAGAATATCACCCTGAGAAGTTTATTTCCCCCACTTGTGAATCCAAATACAACCACAATATCACATCATGTCAAAACACCTGATCGAACAACCATGAAGTCATATCGACGGTTAAGCCACAAATGGCAACATGTATGTAATCATCAACATAACCAAGGTCCATATCGGCTAGGGCAAGTCAGTAATATCATACAACAATCCATGGTTCATCATAGAGCATAAAAGTCCATACACCCCTAATCATGTCATTCTAATTCACCCAGGTCAATTCTAAGCATCAATATAATTATTGGAATACGACAAACCCGGTATGCCGTGCTAATCCCTCAACAGTTCAGGTCGTTTAAACACCGGTTCTAGCCTCCCGTACCACAACTTCACTTTCTCAAACAAACCCGGATTCAAAATCCGAGATTGTCCTAATATCCCCTGCAGTGTCCCCGTCAATGTTAGTTCTAGGCTCCGGATCAAATTCTCGATAAAAACACATCAAACCCTGGCCAAAGCTAAATTCAGCGATTTGGACCCCGACCTAAATAATTGCCGAATTCAGGGATTAGAACTAGAGGATTGATTACCTCGCTGCAGGAAGCTCGTATATGAAATTTGGGCTCAATCCGGCTTCCGGAGACTCCGAAACCCTAATTTGACTTATCGGGAATTTAAGAAATTCTTGAACCAAAAGCTTGTTTTAAAGCTCTAAATCGATAAATCACGATGTATGGATGAATTAGGCATTACTTACGGGATTTTTGGATAAGTAGAACTCAAGATTTGAGCTCTGAAATTTTCTTCGAAGCTACCCTGTGCGCGTCCCTGTGGTTTCTGTATCCAAAGGAAACTCTGCAAATGAAAAATGATGGTGGGACGGGGATATATATATCCGACCGCTAACTCACTTTTTAATATATATATATATATACATATATGGTGTCTTCTACGGTACCCCGGGTGAAATTCGGGGTACCACATACCTTGAGTATGGAAATAGTATCTAGATCTCGAATTAGCAGGATTTTTGGGTATGATACTATACCCTAACCCTTAATGAGTGAACCCTAGGTCCTAATTATCTAAATCATAATCTATAAACCCTAAGATGGTGCATTCCTTTTTGTGTCTATATTTGGACGAATCATAACCGTCGATTATTGTTTCTAATTAAATTGATCTTGGAGTACAAGATTGGGAGAATTAAGACCTAGATTTTGATCTTTAAGGGTTAGATTATAGTATCATGTCCGAAAGATCGGTCAATTCAAGGTCTAGATAGTGTTTTCATACTCAAGGTATGCGGTACCCCGGATTTTACCCAGGGTACCATAGAACTCGCCATATATATATATAGGTGGCTACTTCGGCGCACTCACTTTTTTGGGTGCGCTCAGTGCACCCACTCTAAAAATGTCCATATTACATCAAATTTTGAACTTTAATTAGTACTCTCATTCTAATATGATGATATGGCATAGAATCATAACAAATCAATCTATTACCCTAACCCCTTAACCTTCAATTTTGAATCCCAACCCAAAATACCAAATTGTAAACCTAATCCCTAACCCTAAATCCCTAAATCCTAAATCCTTCGAATTAAAGTAAATTTTGAATGAATTTTTATCAAAATTCATGTGCTTCTTGTTCATAATATCATAAGCAACAATTGATACCGTTTTGATATGAATCGCATGGTCAGAATGACAATTATGAGGCGGGTGCACGAAAAAGTGGGTGCACCGAATACGCCACCATATATATATATATATATATATATATATATATATATATATATATGTATGGTGGCTACTTCGGTGCACTCACAAAAATGAATGCGTTCAATGTACACAACTCAAAAACTAGTCTTAAGGTGTCGGCTTTTGAATTTTATTTGTAGAATTAGTGTAATATGATGATATAACATATGATCACAGCTAATTCTATCCCCCAACCCCAAATTGTAAACCCTAACCCTAAATCTCTAAACCCTACATCCTTCAAATTAAAGTAAATCTTTAATAATATTTGTGCAAATTCATGTGCGTTATTGCTCATCACATCATAAGTGATGATTGACATTATTTTGACATAAATTGCATGTTTAAAATGACGGTTATAAAGCGAGTGCACTGAATGCACCAAAAAAAGTGAGTGCACTAAAAAAGCTACCATAAGTATACGTATTAATTATATATATATAATTAATACGTATACTTATCCGATCGATTGATAATCCGATTTTTGTCAAAATACTATTAAAACGCTCGATTTTAAATCGTAAACTTTCTAGCGATCGAAATATGGGTTTTGCCGAAACGGAATGTTACAAAAACCCTAGACAGAGACGCATACATCCATATTTCATCCACATCCACACTTGTCCTTTTAGCATCAATAAAGAGCTCTTACTGCCCCGACTTCTTCCTCATTTTAACCAAGTCGAAGAGGAAAGATACCACCCAATAACAGGTCATTAAGCTACCCGCAAGCGGAAATGACAGTGGGAAACAATTCAGGACGACACATTAGACTGAACTCTTGCGACCAGATGTGAAAATCTTACGGAGAAAGGTCGGTCTACTGTCTAGAATGACTTCCATTGGCTTCAGCTATAGTACTAATTCTAGGATCTAAGACGGGATTTGATTATTTTGCATCCGATCCCTGTTTCAAACGGTCCAGTTTATACGGCCCGGTTTCCAATTTTACATTCGGTCCCGGACCAAATAGTTAGCCCTACTTGCTTGCACCTTCCCCTTGCTCCTTTGGGTGATTGGATCTTCAATGAAGCTCTCCCAAGGTATTTCTCACTAAAAAACACTTCAAAACCCTACTTTTCTCACTCTAGGACGGCTCTTCCTTGAAAAGTGTTGCAAGAGGGGTATTTATAGAAAACTGATGGCGGTCAAGGCTTCCAGGGCGTGACCCGATGGTCACAATGACCTGGCCGTGACCAGCGTGCTACGTCTTCGAATCGCCTAAAACGACGCGTTTTGTCCCGTCTTTAACTTCCGAGATCGCAACCTCCTTCAAACAGATCATGATCGCGATCTTTGTATCCCAGGAGCGCTCTTTTTCGCGGCCAAACCGCACTATGACCGCGATCCGGGTGAGGAAACTCTCTGTCTTCTTCTTGGTCGCTTGCTGGAGATGGTGTCAATAATTCAAATATATCCAAGTACTCATTCGAGAGACAGTGAGAGAAGATGTAAGAGGTCATCAAAGTTAACAAGAAAGACGAAACGGCAACAGTTTCATTGCGCAAGAATGAATATTAAACCACCACAGTGATGGTTCATCAATGAATAACAAAAGTGTGCAGCACGCCTCTCATCAATGTTGTTTACAGGAGCAAACCACAGACGAGTATTACCTATCAGTTCACAGCTAGCTCCAACAAAAGGTGCACAAAATACACTCAAATGGGCTTCAGTACTACAAATATACAGCATCGCAAATGACAATATCAATGATTTATGAATGGAATTAATGAATACAGGTTGAATTGATGTACAAGGAAGAATGCTGACGAGGAGAAGAGACAGACCTGATGATGGTTGGATATCTAGTTCTCTACCTCAAGAAGACTGGCTCGAAAAACAAGGCTCCTGAAAGGGCTGTGTATCAATAGGACCACCACAAGTTCTAGTGCTACAGGATGAGAATCAGCCAAGGAGGATGAAACATGGTAGGTGCCTGGATAACTGCTAAAGACTCAGAATTCCAGCACTCCATGCATAAAGAGCTACGACGTCGAGATAGATCTAGTTCCAAGGGCTAGGTTGGCGAGCATCCCGAAATGCTGAGGTGCCACCAGATGCTAGGGGAGAAGGAGAAGATGGAGTGTAATTTGTCCCAGATATGGATACTGTGGGCGGTGCGTTTGTCGGATGATTTTGTTGCCCTGTTGGTGCAAACCGTGATGGGCTGGCTCCCAAACTTGTTCGCGGTGGGAGGGGTGGAACCTATGAAAGTTACAAAAGAAGAAGACGTGTCTCACCTCAGGTTGTTTTTCATACAAAAGAACTGAACAAAGAGACAACCGCAAAACACAGAAAGGGATTTCCAGACCCCAACCAATACTAATTCGGAAGACAAAACACTAATGAATATTTACAAATAAGGGAAACAACAGCAAATCAAAGTACCCACATCCTCATTTTTTTCTGTACAAGGCTAAGGGCTTCTGTTGATGAATTGTATTCGGAAATTTGAAGAATAACTCCAAAAGCTAGATATAAACAAGTCAAAACTTTAATAACAATTATCAACCAAATCAAACTCTTACTTTGGCCATCTGAAACTTGTTAATTCTTAGCACTCAGCCTGTCAATCAGTCTGGCCTAATACTCTTGTCACCTAATGGATGCAGCTAATACATATCCCTATGACATAATATCGTTAGTTCACGAGTTGAGACAGACAAATCCTTATTGCCAGGTCTTCTTAGTACAAAGTTCAGCAAACCACTCAATATTGGTCCCAAATAGTAACGACAAAAAAAAAAAGGCAATCCCAGGCAAAGGAAAAAAGCAAAAAGGAATAGTAAGACTTTGTGCTCTTTATCAATGTGATCGCACAGTATGCAGTAAAATGTTACTTACCACATTGTAGGGGGGTCTTCTAAGGGGAGACTCTGAAGATGGAGAAATACTGCTCATTCTTTGTAAATAACGAGAATGAACATTTTGATTTGAAACATCGTCATTTTCAGCTTCTTCCATATCTGCACCAAGATTAGCCTCTGACCCCATCCCAGGAGTGACGTGTCTGATCATCGACCCAGAATCATTCGTGACATCTACTTGAAGCAGACCAGAGGGACGAGTTGTCATCGCCTGCACAGTGCTTCGTCTCTTCAGCTCTTCCTCGCCATTTAATAACTGTCAAGTGAGAGCACATACTGCATACTGATCTAGGGAAAATAGGTGATGAAGCCAGAGGGTAGAAGTTGTTAAACAAGAAATCTAGTACAAGTTCCTAGAGTTCCTCATATGTTGATGTCCACTTTCTTTCATTTCCAGCCAGTTCCCGATGGATTCAAATACAATAATGTAAAAAAAAAATTCGTTTGTAAATAGGACAACAAATTCTAACAGAAACAAGATTACAGAATTTGAATCTTTTGACTATGACGAACCCATGTAATAAAATGACTAAAATGAGGATGAGATGGAATCATAAATTACCTGCTTTAGAAGTTGCACTAGATTATGTTTCTTTGCATTCAAAATTTCCAATTTCTCCTCAACCTCTTTCTCCCTTTTTGCTTTTTCACCTGACAGCTCAGGTTTGTCTTTTGCCTGGGAAGAAACATATGAAACCAGAGTTCATCGTCAGATAAAGAAACATTGTAGAGCAGAAAACTAAAGATCATAGAAAGGGCTAGTAGGCACTGACAATTTCAAGAAACCTCCTAAATGAAGCTACAGCGATTCTGATATAAACTTAAATGGATTCCTATGTGGAACATTGATCCCTAGACGACTTCCACATCTATCAGCTGCAAGTCAACTCCTAACATTTTAAATACAACAACCACCAAGAAAAAAACTTTCTAGTATCACTTCTTAAGTTGTAACATAGTCAGACAACATAAACGATCACATAAATTCTGAACCTAACCAAGGAACATTATTACCATAGCACTCGTTACGGGCTGTCTAATTTTCTGTCAAAAGGAATCACCATGCTTCTGGTACTCCTGCATTTAACAAGAATGACGAGTGGCACAAGCCGTTGTCCCTGTTACTAGTTCCTTCAAAATCCTTATATAGAGGTAGGCCAACAGCCAACTAATACTGCAACCCCCCTAACCGTCAATGACGTTCATGATAACAATGGTCATGCAGCAGATTGCATAAAAAAAGCTTCAGAAGCTTAACAATCTATCACTTCACAACTAGACTCCACAACTAGAAATGGAAGGATATGTAGCCTAGTTACCAACTTGAAACACATCATAAACACTTCCAAACAAATGATATCGCCAAAACATTCAAAATTCTTCAACATGAGTACCTCCGCACTAGGTTCAGCCGATTCTTCCAGCTTCACGGCGAGCAAAGCCTGCAAATCTCCATCACCATTAACAACCTCAACTCGGCCTTTCTCAGCTGCTTCAGGATTCTCAACAGGCGCATCATCCAGCTTCATCGAGCAATCTCCACCATTCAACAAGCCCCGGTCCTCTTCGGCACCTTCTCCAACCCTCCCGGAAGGCCCTTCTTCCTCATCGCCACGATGATTCGTATCATCAACAGCTTTCATCTCCTTCAACTGAGGCGTAGTAGGATCCCCAGCTTCCTTGGAATCGTGTTTGGTAGAAATGGTAAGGTCAGGGTTAGGGTTAGAGGTAGTGCCGGCGGCGACAAGGACGGTGGAGGGGGAGCGGAGGTGAGAGAGAGCCCTGGAGCGACGGTTGAGGAGGGATTTGAAGTCCCTGAGAGAGAGGTTTCGGGAGGGCATCAGCCATCGACGAGGGGCATCGGGGACTCGGTGGAGATTCCCCCTGTAAAGCGAAATCGCCACCATGTCTTCCAGTGCTTCGACCTTGATTTTGCTTTTCAAGCTTCTTCTTCTCTTCTTGCTCGGCGGTGGAGAAACGAACCCTCCCCCTGCCCTGCCGAAGTATCGGAGTCGCCGAGTCGGGAATTTGGTCTGTCAGTCACGTGTTTCGTCAATCGCCAAAACTCGGATAGTGACGGATACTCGGTAGTCGGAACGACATGTCCTCGACTTTGAGACCGTTTCATAAAACGACGCAGCTCTGGGTCGTGAGTTGAGTTGTGCAGTGTCTGCCTAATTATTCATTTACTAAAAACTGTAACGGGCCATGATGGAACTGGCCCAACAACCTCGAACCCAAACCAAACTACAAAGGACCATCAAGCCTACTCTGGAACCACGAACCTGAACGGTGAACTCCCTGAGGCCACGCTTCTGTTGCCACCTGATCTCTCGACCGCATTAGTACTAGAAGAAACTCTATTTATATGGGATGATGGATTACAAGTAACACCCGACTGTGCTAGTTAAAGTATGCTTTAGTTTTTCTAATGTTGGACAACTGTCATTAATAGTGAGCGTATTGCACTTACAAGAGGTGAATAATACTGTTGGTTGTGTACTTTTTATAAGATCGACTTTGCTTCAAGAGCAAGATTTAATCTCTTGTGATAAAGATTTCTAGCAGCATAGTCGTATTTTTTTGGTTGGTCATTTACAAGGGCTTATATGGTAAAAAAGTAATTGAAGGAAATGAAATAAATTTCATCGAGCTATCAAATGATAGTTCCATTTTACTTGCTTATACAAAATTATGTGAATAATTAAGTATGTCCTGTCAAAGATTGCTAATGTCCTTTTCTTTTCTTTGTTGTGGCTTTTTGTGGCATCTCGATACTGGTCATCTGACATATTCCGTCGAAGGAAACTAGGAGCTTTTTGTTGGATTTTTATTTTTTTCCCTCGTCAGTGTCGTGTCTTTGCTGCTTGGAGCTTCTTCAGAGCTTCAAAATAGTGGCTTAATAGGCTCTTTCATCGGTAGTCTGGTTGCATATGGACTAACGCATAGGGTTTGAGTCGGTCTTGTAATCGTATCAAGTCTTTGTCCCATGCTTTTTGAGCTTGCCTTGGAAAAAAAACCAATTGTGCATATAATGTATGTATCTAAAATGATCAATGATCATCTATATATTATTATGGCCATATTCACCTGTATAGCCAAAACTTTGACGGTTTTGCCAAATATAGCCACTTTTGGGGAAATACCAGAAATAGCCACTTCCGTTCAATTGTTTGACGGTATTAGTTAACGTGCTGACTGGACAAACGATAGCGGTTGATGTGGCATTTTTATTCAAAAATAATGTAAGTGAAAAATAAATAAAATTCTATCTTTTTACAATTAAATAAAAAATTATAAAAATAAAAAACAAAATTATCTTTCTCTCCATCACCAACACCGCCTGTTCACCTCCCCTTCGTCTCGCTCTTCTTCACGCTGAATTCCCCGCTTTCTCGACCTCTTCCAGCCTCGAAATCACGCTGCTCGCCGGCCGAGTCGTGGCGAATCTCAGCTCTTCCTTCTCCATCCTCTTCTTCTCCCCGAACAGCGGCGAGAGATCGAACCCTTCGGACAGAGAAATGATGTGGAACGCGTTCAGTTTTGGGGATGGATTTTCTGAACCAGGACGACTCCATGACCTTCGAGATGGTGATTCGGCTCGTCGGATTGGGGTCGAGGAGCTTGGTGACGAGGCGGCGGGACTCGGAGGAAAACCACGACGGACATTTGAACCCCTGTAGATTTTTCTATACATGGCGACCAGATTGTCGTCTTGAAAGGGGAGTAGGAGGAGGTTCTCTGGGTTCAGATCTTGGTGGTAGACGCCGCAGCTGTGGCAGAAATCGATGGCGGAGATCAATTGCTGGAAGTAAACCCTAGCGGCGTCTTCCCTCAGTCGGCCTCTGGCGACCTTGGAGAAGAGCTCGCCGCCGCGGACGAGCTCCATGGCGATGTAGATCTTGGACTTGCTCGCACCTAACGTGGTAGTGTTCGATCCCAGCCTCTCGATCTTCCCAAACTTACCTCAATCCACAATTCGAGCCGCCGTCGTCGCCTAACTCTTCTTCTCATCTGATTTCGAGTCGCCGCTTCGGCAGAAGAAGAAGAGGCGCTCCAACTGCCGTTGTAACTCCCGTTGGAGATTCTTCCAGATCTTGAAACTCTTGCCCGCCTCTTCGATTCCGAGGGCATCATCCTCCCCGGGTAAACCTATCGCCGCCATCGAATTCGGCGCCGCTCCGGTTCATCTCCTTGTCCAACATCTTCACCACTCGTCCGATGGAAATGGATTGGGCGAGGAATAGAGAGGAGAAGTGTGTAGGTTTTGAAATTGGCTTCTGGGTAGGATGAAGATGATGACGGGATCGCGGCGGCAGGGAGATGTGTCGTAGTGATGGTGGTGATTAGGTAGTGATTTATTTATTATTTTATTTATTAATTGTTTTATGGTAATTTTTTTACCCATTAAAAATGACGTGGCATCCCACCTGTCAATGGATGCTGAGGTGGGAAGGAAAGACACGGTGAGGTGGCAGCCACATCAACTGTCCGTTAATTAGACTAACGGTGTCATTGACACCGTCAAACTATGTAACGGAAATGGCTATATTTGTCATCAAACTTTCAAAAATCTAGCTATTTCTGGTATTTCTCCAAAATTGGCTATATTTGTCACAACCGTCAAAGTTTTGGCTATGCAAGTGAATTTGGCCTATTATTATTATTATTTACATAATTGACTTCAAATATTTATTTTTATGATTAATGCATTGATGTATGGTCGATGTGGTTAGTGTGAGAGAACTAGACGGTGTTGGTGGAGTAGAAAAAGATGCGCAATTTTGCAAAGGGAAAATAAGTAAAACTAACCCAAAGATTTGAATCGTAAGATTTTAAAGATTTTAAAGATTTAAATCGTAAATAGTGTAAGATTTTAACGTCTATAGATTTTATAGTGAAATCAGGATCAAAATATGTAAATAAAATCGTAAAATAATAGAATTTTAAGATTTAAATCGAGATTTTAACTGCTTTGCAATATTTTCACACTTCATTAATAAAAAAGAAATTTAAAACTAAGGCAATGGAAGAGATACCTTGCCATGGGGTAACTGAGTGACAACCACACATATGGTTTATGGGGTGGAGTGTCTAACAAACTCTTATATTGTGGGGAATTTGATGGATGTATGAAGCCACAATGACAATGAGAGTAAGAATCCTAACCAGACATGGTAAGAACACGATATGGCATGGTAACCGAATTAATAGAGGCCATAAGTAAGGATAAATCGTTTAACTGTCCGTTAACCGAATGTACTGATGAGATAATGGTTTGGGCTTTTGGTTAGTACGTTAATGTGTTAGGGTTAATTATGGGTCTAATTGCTTAGGGTTAGTAGGTAGGTTATTAGTCTATATGCATGGGCCGAGTATGCATTAGAGTTGGATGCCAAGTTGGAGTACGTAGTTGAGTCGGGTAGGTTTAGGGTTAAGTATTAGGTTTAGTGATCTATATAAATATGTAACTACGGCATTAGTCCGATTAATGAATCAATAATAAACCTAAAAAGTCTTTCGACACTCTACGTCGTTCTCTCGCTTGTGAGTTACAAGCAAAACCCTAACTCGAGTAAACGAGTTGCTATCATGTACAAAGGAGAAGAATTCCCCTTCCTTTAGGTGGCGACGAGATGCACGATTAGCGAGACATAAAAACAAATACCTCCTCGCCATCTTGTGAATCAATTATGTTAGTGGAGGGCAAGCTTGCCCAATGAGAGCATGCCAAACAAGTGGGAGAACTAAGTATTGTAGGTCTTAGTTGAGACTTGAGTGTGGTACATGGTCGTCGGAGGCTTGGTAAAAGAAAATGAGAGGTAATGTTATTATGTTGAATTTGCTGCCGAGTGTTATCAGGAAGGAACAAAGAGATGATTTTTCATTATCACTTGGGATTGTGCGAGCTAGGTGTGACAAGGAACCAGAAACAATAATCTTTCCAAGATTTACAAGTTATCACTTGAGTTACAATCAATCTTCTATTACGTGGTTTTAGATTAAGCCAAGATGCGACCACGATGCGGTTGATGGGTTTGGTTTGGGTGCCCTAAGGAAGTTGATACTTGATTTAAGTGTTCTAGTTGGTGTCAACAACTTAGTAAATAATACTTATACACTAAGTTATGGGGCATATGTTTGCTCATAAAACATTAATTTCTACCACATTGATTAATTACAAGAAACTTAATGACTTTATAAGACCACTTCAATATTAGATATTATATGAGCTAGTTGTACCTTATTCGGTTTGCCTTTTGGGCCCAAGTGGCCAAGCTCCCTCTTTGTGTCTAGGTGGCCGACCGCCCCCATGGCCTAGATAACCGACGCCTCCTCGCCTTGTAACAAGCCAATTGGTATGAAATATGGCTCTTAAAAAGTAAGTTTGGAAACAAGGCAGGCTTGGTAGCTAGCCAAGAGGTTACCAAGCCGACAACACATGCTTGGTACCAAGACATGAAATTTGGCCAAGTATGGAACCAACATGGTACCAAGCGAGCAAGGGACGTTTGGTACCAAGATATGAAATTTGATCAAGTATGGAGACAAGAGGTACCAAGCATGCAAGGCAAGCTTGGTACTAAAACACCAAGAGGGTATCAAGCCGACAAGGCAGGCTTTGTACCAAGGAGAGAGCCAGTTTTAATATACTTCGGGGAGATACAAATTACAGAGGAGTATGAGAAGTATTTATAGTACTTGCCTTGTGGATTCACCAACTCGTAACATTCAGCAAGTCCAAGTAGTGTTGGAACTTGCCATGTGCAATCGGCTTCGTGAACATGCCAGCAGGATTGTCAGTAGTGCCAATATTCTTCACCTTAACCCTTTTCCCTATTCTCAAGAAATGATACCTCGCGGTAGGGGTGGGCATTGGTATGGTTAAACCACTCCAAACCGCACCAAAATGCATTTGCGGTCAAAGCAAACCACACAACTAAAATTGCGAGGTTGCGGTTCAAAACAGCAAATCACTAAGGTTATGCTCTATCATCAACATCATCCATTACAAACTTAATCTTCCATTATATCCCCATCGCATTGCTCGCCTCCACCACCGACGCGTTCCTCTCCTCGTCCAGCTCCATCAGCGACTTTCGGTCCAATCTGACCTGCCTCGAGTCCCCGCCCTCTGGCTTCGCCAGAGCATCATTGCCAACCCATATTCAATTATATCTCCATCGCTTTGTTCGCCGCCGCCATTGTCGATGCTGACGCGTTCCTCTCCTTCAACTCCATCTACGACTTTTGGTCTAATTCGACCTGCCTCGAGTCCCCACCTCTGGCTTCATCGACAGAGAACTCGACCCCCTATTGAGCGTCGATTTCTGAAGAGAGCACCAAATCACCCACTAGGGAGTCTTGGTTGTTGAATCTGGTTATGAGTTTTAAACACTCCCCTTGCCCCTTCTTATATAATTTTCTACTACTCATAGAGTCTATCAGCTTGTTGAATCTCGCCAGATCGATAATTGGAGTGGTTAAATGTCCTAGTCTAAGGTTGTTTGTGTTGGCAGGAATACTCATGTCATTCGTACATTACCTTATTAGAAATAAGTTGAGAGCAGTTAGGGGTGAATGTAAGTTTCTGAACTTGGCTTTGGGGAGAGAGGTTTCTTTTTGCAAGTAGCAGTGGTAGTAGAAAAGCAAAAATGATAACTCCCAATCCCATTCATGGAGTCAGGAGGGTGCAGATGGTGGTAGTCTATTGAGTCTCTTTTTGAACCAACTTTTGCTGGCTTTTGTCTAGGAATGGTGATTGAGGACTTGCTTTCAAACTTACAACTGAATGAACCTGATGGTTTACAACACGAGCTGTGCTGAGAACAACTCCATCGATTTATCTCTTTATGTTAGCTAGCTACTCTATATTTCATCATTTTCTAACTTTTGTTTCATGTGCTTACAATGTGGTAATGAATCTGTGATTCGATATCAAGTATTAAGGAAGTAGAAGATATTGTTATCAACAAGATGAAATCAAAGGGTTTGTAGGGAAAACGAGCTCTGATTCCTTCCGCCGGTAGTCACCCGCAGAAGGGTACTCTGTTTCGGTGGCAGGAGAAACAGAGATCTGATGATCTTGGTCGGCCGACAATAGTAATTTAATTTAATAAATGTATAATCCATAATAATTTGTGGTCAAACATGTGATGTGGTTCAAATTGCTCCAAACCGCTAATATATGCGATTTGGTTTGACCGCACCAATAATATTGCGGTCGAAAATGCGGTGTGGTCCAATTGAGATGCAGTGCAGTACGGTCCAAACAGCACCAATGCCCACTCCTACCTCACGGAGATATGCTTAGTCCTCTCATGGTGAATTTGATCCTTAGCCAAGCATATTGCGCTTAAACTGTCACAATACACCACTGTCTTATCACGATGTAGAGTCGGATCACCAAGCAGCCCCTTCAATCATATTCCCTCCTTGGATGTTTCTGTCAATGCCATGTACTCTGTTTGAGTAGTAGACAATGCCACTTTCAACTGTAGAGTTACTTTACAGATCACCACCGAACTCCCAAGAGTAAATACATAACCATCATATATATCCTCATGTCAACATCTCCAACATCATCCAAATATGAAAAACCAGGCACTAAGCACTTTGTATCACTTTCGAAGCTAATCCCAACATTAGACGTTCCCTTTAGGTACCAAAAAATCAACTTCACATCCTGCCAATGTTATTTCCTAGGTTGTTGATAAAGCCTAAATTGTTGTTATTTATTCCACATATATAGGTTCCTTTTGAGTCATTTTATGTGCATAATGATTGATTCATCGTCAAATATATCCCTATTTCGTTGCTCGAAGAATATATCTTTCTATTAGGGTGTATTAGGCAATATATGCGAATTAGGTACCAAAATGACATAAGTGTAGCAAAGAAAGGGGCAAAATCTGAAGATTACGGTCTGGACAAGGATGATCGTGGTCAGGAAAAGTGGGCATGAATAAGAAGATAATATCGCGGGCGAAAGAGCAAAGATCACGCCATCGCACTTTAACACCTCGGGCGTGAACTTCAGAATTTTCCAACACAGGAGAAGTAGATGATCTAGCTTGTCGACTCGTTGCCCTCGTCTTTCCAGCCTGCGGGAAAGATCAGGACCGTGAAGTCAACCCGCAATCCTCCCCTTGGACGAAGAGCAAA